AGCCCATTCAAAAAAAAAAAAAGGTTGCCCACTCTGGGCTTGAACTTGAAATCTTCCTGCCTTAGCTCCCAGCTCATTGAAAGATCTTAAACATGAAACTAACAAGATTTCATTTCAAGCTCACTAGAGTTCCTGCACCACCAGCCCCTCAAGATTTATGCCAGAACTGCACTGGCCTCGACTTTACCTTGTGCTTTTATAAAGGAAGCCCTTATTATAGTCGCCCCTTTTATGCAAATAGTCTGTCTGGCTCCTTACTCCCTCCCAAACAGGGAACCTAGGGCCGGGGATATAGCTCAGTGGCACAAGTGCCTGCCTGGCAAGCGTGAGGTCCCGAGTTCCATTCCCGGTACCAAAAAAAAAAATAAATAAATAAAAGACCCAAACAGGGAACCTAGCCCTTCTGCAGGTCTGGGTCTTGCCCTTGTAGAAGGGGCTCAGTCACTCCAAAGCTGCAGGCAGCTATGAAAGTTAACACAATGGTAAAAGGCAGTGAAAGCTCATGACTCAGTACCCAGCCCTTCTCCCAAACACCACTCCCCGCGCGTGCAGCCGCTTCTTGGAGCGGAAAGGGAAAAGAAAACGTGAGCGCCCCCTATGGATGAGGGCTGGCAGGGCTCCTCAGTGTCCCGCCTTTGGGACCAAGGAGTCCCTCTCCCCAAGGCCAGAACGCACCCAGCCTCTGCTGAGAGAGCAGTGCCCACGAGCTGCTCTCAGCTCCAAAGGCCTACAGTGTAGACAATCCAAGAAGCACTGCCACCTTCGCACACTGGCTACACTGGCTTCACATCTGGAATCCTTACCTCCTTCCCCACCAGACCCCGGACTGTCCTGAAGGCCTTACCAGGTGCCCACTCAGCTGCTGTCCTGGTCACTGTCCCTGTGACACGTGGCGCCTTCCCCCCCACACTCAGCTCCTCCTAATGCGTGCCGGGCCTCCCCGCCAGACTGCGAGGAGGGACCTGTCCCCTGTTCCCGGAAGATGGAAGATCGCCCACACCTGGCCCTGTGCCGAGCGCCCGGCGGGGGTGTCATAAATATCTCCTGAATGATTCATTCATTCCTTTGGGAGAGAAAGCTCGGCCCTTAAGAGGTTAAAAGGAAGGGCTTTTAAGTCACACAGCCCAGAACTCATTTTCTGGCTCTGACCTTTGGCACTGTGACCTTGGTCGCCTCGTGGCTTGTTTCCTTATGCAGAAACTGAAATGGTCATGACCCGACTAGGGTAGTTTGGGGATATTGTGAGATGATGTTATGAGCACCAATCTGTTCCACTTCAGCAGCTCAATTATGTAGCGGGGGGAAATTCATTTAGAGAAGGGGGCGTCCCTCACCCATCCAGCTGCCTGCGAATTTGTGTTCTTGGAGATGGACAGACTCATGCTGGGCCCATTTTACAGATAAAGAAACTGAGACCTAAAAGGGAACAGGATAACCTGGGGCGCAGCAGGATGGGGCTAAAAGCCAGGCCTGAGGACTCTGCGTTCCGTGCTCTGCAGGCCTCTAGAAGCCCCTGACTACATCCCCACTTCACCGCATCTCGTCCTGGTGTCTGGGAATAAGGGGCTGGGCTTGGCCTCTGGCGCCCCCCGGGCCTCCCGCGCGCTTTTGCGGATCTCCGCCTCACTCCCTGGCAGCGCCGCGTCGCTCTGGGGAGTGGAGAGCGCTCGGGATTGTCACTTTAAATTAAAGAGGTAGAGGGCGGGCGAGCGGGGGAGCGCGCGGCGGGCTCCTGGGAGCGTGCCCGGACTGCGGCGCAGCTCCTGTCCGCCGCCCCGGCCCGGAGAGCCCCCGACCC